CAGAGCTTGACACGGGGCTTGAACTCACGAACCACAAGATCGTGACCTGAGCCAAAGTTGGACGCTCAACTGACTGAGCCACCCAGGTGCCCCAGGAGCCAGGTTTTAAAGTGTTGCATGTCATTCCTACCGAACCCCATTGGCCAGAATTCAACCCAATAGTCCTACTGGACATCAAAGGTAAATGAGATACCCAATTCCAGGTATGTGCCCAGGAGGAAAAAGGACAGGAGTCTGGTGAACACATAGCACTGTCTTTGCCACTACCACTAATTTGGATTACTGGGAAACAGTCCAGCCTGAGTTAATGAAGTCATTCATTTACTCATTCAGTTACTCATTTCAAGCATAAGCAGTAGGTTTTGCCATTTGCCAAATGTTTCAAGCACAGAATGTGTCAGACTTTACTAAATAAGTCTCAGCTGTTTTCTTTCTCCCATCCTGTGTCTTTGACCCACCAGTGACACCCACAGATACCATCTAGCCCAGCAAGTAACTGATCAAATAGCACAAATAAAAAATTCATGACCAAGAAAATGGCCCTTATTTCATTAAACTGATAAGCTTCCTTATAACAACCCTGAAACATTTCATGATTAATCCCCAAAGAATTTACATTTTTTTTAGCATGCACCTGCATTTCAACATGGTCTGAAAAAACACCCTCTTCTCATGGAAATCATTTTTACCCCAGAAAAAAATCTAATGGTTGAATTTGTTCAATATTGAATGGTAGACATGAAAATAAGTTCTGATGATCCCTAAATATTTGGAGATTCAAATAATCAAACCCTCCTCTTCATCATCGTCATTACCAAAATTGCCCATTAATGCTATATACAAGGTGGGTGCTTTTTTCCTGAGACACTAAGGTCTTTACTCCTCTTCATGATCCAGTTCCCAGGAATCAAAACTCTAAAACATCGGGAAGTATTTTTCAAATGATCAAAAAAGAGAAGCTGCCAAAATAAGTCTCTTGATTAAAAATCAACATGATTACTACAAGCACAGGCTGGGGGCCAAGCCTGCCAAGCCCTTGGAGAATGCTGCTTAGGGGACAAATACGGTCCAGAAAACACCAATTTAATTTTAACAAAATGAGATTGCCTGGAAGCATTTCACTATATTTAACATTGGGGAGCAGTTTCCAAAAATGAGACTTAGGTTTTTTGGATATAACAATTAGGACACCATCTAAGGGGCAGGATCCAAAGTGTAATTATTGCTAAATGGAGTGTTTCTCTGAGGGTGGAAACGAAGTCTTTAACATGGCTGCATGAGCCCAAATGGACGGAAAAGGTATCACTAAAATGTCGTTGTTTTATTATCCACTGGATTTGTTCAAATGAGAAAGTCCAGGAAGTGTGGGTTACTATGGAGTGAACTGTGTCCTCCCAAAATTCATAGGTTGAAGTCCTAACGCCCAAGGTGATGCCAAGGTATTTGGAGATGGGGCCTTTAATTAAAGTTGAATGGGGCCACAAAAGCAGGGCCTTAATCCAACTGGTGTTCTTACGAGAAAAGAAAGAGACTCCAGGAGTGCACAGAGAAAGAGAGCCATGTGAAGACACAGGGAGAAAGCAGCCATCTCTGAGCCAAGGAGAGAGGACTCACCAGAAACCAACCTTGCCAGCACTTTGATTTGAGACACCCAGCCTCCAGAACTGTGAGAAATAAGCCTCTGTTACTTAAGCCACCCAGTCTGTGGTATTTTATTCTGGCACCTCTGGTGGACTAATACAAAAACGAGTACAGAAAGTTTTAGGCCACATTAGTACAGATGTCCAGGTGAACAGATACATTCAGTGCGATGTAGAAAAGGTCCAAGTCATAGATCTCTGAACAAAGGGCAACATCAAGAAATGTTTGCTGAATGAAATTGTACTATCCTTTCAGCATAGTAGTCAGAGAAAGGGTGTTTATGGTTAACATAAGGAAAACAATAAAAAGCCTAAGGTACATGCAGCTCTCAGATACAACTACAGTGTGGCAAAGAAGGCTGCCAAGTCATTATACTATTGACTTCCAGAAAATGCCATCCCTACTCTAAGTGGGGTTGCTCTGGGCACTGACCAAACTCGGTGGAAAATGGAGGCTGGCTTGTCAGAGTCCCTGGGGACAAGGTTATCTTAATAGAGCTAGGTTGCCTGAATACAACTTGGGGCAGCAATTGCCTAGGGAGCATGGAACTCAGCAGGCAAGGGTGTTTCAGGGGCTACACAGGCTAAAATCAGATCTATAGCACTGACTGCAAGTACCCTATTCAGTAAAGAATAACTGAGGGAACGTAATAAATCATGCTGGGCATGTAAAATGCTAGCAAATGCCAAGTGGTTCTTTAACAACTTTTAAACCATTTCTTTTGGCTTCTAATGACTTCCTTCATCTTGGAGAACTTCAAGATCCCCGGTGGGTAAGCATATCTCAGCCCTCCACAAAAAACACCATCACCTCTTCTTCCATCTTTTCGTCTGAAGACACCCAGCCAAGTTAGAGCAGACCAGCTGCTGGCCCATATGACACCTTTGTGCATATTAGGAAAAGGCCCCTTCCTTGGGGATGCAGCCATGCACCAGGTGCACGACTTGGCTGGGGAAGCCCACACTGGCAGTCACCCCGCCCCCCACTTGGCCCCTTGGCCCAGCTCACTTGAATAGGATGCAATCTGCACAACCATATGAGATGCTCTGATGTAAAAGAGTTTGTGAAGCCTCATGAGCCACTGTGCTCATAACAGTAAAAAGCCCGTGCTTTTACTTACAGCACAAGCTCAATGGCTGCAAGAAGCATTCCAAGTGCAATGGATACAGGACAGAAGTAGCTATTATAATGGGCACAAATCATGAATCTGCTCTCAAGACAATGCATCTTAGCAATTTACCAAGTGAACATTAGACTATCAGCACAGCAAATTCTAAGAAATTTTTGAACATGGAAGAATCAAATAATAAAATGCCCGAGAAAGCTCTCACACGTAAGCAAAGTGAGCCACTAAACACAAAAGCTTTGAGAAGTACAAAAGATAAATTCTTCTCTAAAGATGAAGCACAGGAGGTTTCTGAGACCAAAGAAACTCAAAACTGGGCCAAGAAGAATTAAGGAAAACACCATAGAGAGAGAGAGAGAGAGAGAGAGAGAGAGAGAGGGCAGAAGAGACACAGAGAGAAACCCCATAAATTCCTTATCAGCACTAATTGTCTCAAGAAATAGGAAGGGGGTGGCTATAGAACACTTGAAGAGCACATTTAATGTGAAAAACACTTATGATGTATATTATTCCAAGTAAAATGACTGGAAAATGGTGGAGGCGGATGTTAAAAAAGAAAAGACAAAAAGTAAACCAATAATTACTTTAAAATCCCCATCATCAGGGTCACCGGCGTGGCTCAGTCAGTTAAGTGTCCAACTTCAGCTCAGGTCATGATCTCATGGTTTGTGAGTTCAAGCCCCCCACATCAGGCTCTCTGTGGTCAGCGCAGAGCCCGCTTTGGATCTTCTGTCCCTCTCTCTCTCTGCCCCTCCTCCCCACACTCTCTCTCTCAAAAATAAATAAACATGTTTTTTAAAAATCCCCATCATCACAATGGAAAGAGAATCCTGTTACATACAATATAGGCACTCAGGGGCGCCTGGGTGGCGCAGTCGGTTGAGCGTCCGACTTCAGCTAGGTCACGATCTCGCGTTCCGTGAGTTCGAGCCCCGCGTCAGGCTCTGGGCTGATGGCTCAGAGCCTGGAGCCTGTTTCCGATTCTGTGTCTCCCTCTCTCTCTGCCCCTCCCCCGTTCATGCTCTGTCTCTCTCTGTCCCAAAAATAAATAAATGTTGAAAAAAAAATAAAAAATAAAGTCTTTAATATAGGCACTCAGATCCAAGCTGAGGATAAGAATCAGAGACAGGAGCAATGACACACACTACCTTTCCCAACCCACATATGATGGACTTCTACTTGGGCCCACTCCCAGCCTTTTGAGGAGGGACTCAATGGCTTCACAGAAAACGTCCCCCAAATGCCTCCCTCAGAAAGTTAGACTGAAAGTCTTGAATTTCATCTAAAGTGGCAATTCCACTGTAGGAGCCAGACCCTGGAAGGCAGAGGTGCATGGTTTGAGTCTATGTTCTGCTTCCAGTAAGTTGTAACCCACTAGATGCTAATCCTCTCATAGACCAATCCTCCAACCAAATGTCTTGTTTGGAGCTTTTGTTGCTCAAGCA